CTGCTGGTAACAGTTTAATCAACCAGTGTAGCTATACTGGTTTCCAGTGTGGTGGGGTACCCTGAAGCTCTTCCCATTTTTTCACACATTTTACTTTCTTTTTTTTTCCAGATGAATTTTGAACTGACTGCTGCAGTGTGCTACCAGGACAAATAGTGTGGTTCCATATATTTTGGTACTGCTACTTCTTCTCCTCATTATTCAAGCTCAGCTGCTGTCTATGCAGACTCTATACCCTCTGGAGCTCAAGCTGAAATGAAATTCTAGCTTGCACGGTGCAGTCAGTGAAAGCTGTGAATGTTCAGGAAATTTAATATTGACTTCAATCTTTCCAACAGTATAGAAGTAGTAGCAAAATTGTGTTTACTGTTTAATGACAGCACTGAGACCCACATTTGCAAGTTTATCTCAGTAAAGGTATTGGCTGTCCTGTGTTCATGTAAGTGTTGTGAAATGATTCTGTAGCCAGCCATTCCCTGCCCATGTCCATTGGAGTCTGGCAGCCCTGGGGTTAGTGAGACAGTACCTGTCAAGAGCCATGATGAGTGTTCACATTAAGGCCTTTCATTGATTACTTCTGTTCTGGCACTGCTCAACATATGAGAACTGCTTACATGGCTGCCATGCTTGACTTGTCAGGAGAGATCTTGTTTTACAAACTCACTGACCTTGACACTATCCATCCTCCAGAGAGCGCCCTTGACTTTGACTGGAAAATGTACTAAACACTTCTCAGTGTGCTGCTTTGCTCTGATGGATCACTTCTGTTTGTGGTCCCATGGCCCTGTGAGCACATCTAAAGGACTTTGCAAGTCATTTGTAATGTACTTTAGTTTGGGGCAAAATAACTAATCACCAGAATATGAAGTATTATAACAGTTTCAGGCAATGTGGGGTCCCTGGATACAGTAATAATTTGTGCAATGTCTATTCTTATTGTCACTATGTTAGTCTAATATTGATTTAAAAGATAACGTCAGCTGATAGTTTTCCATTTGTAGTTTCATACAAACAAGAGTCTAGTAGCTATCCTTATAATTCTGGTGCACAGGAACCCAATTATTTCACTTGTAGAGCTACAGCAGCTAGGGTTACACATAACACTGTCAATAAATAGCATGATGACCAGGAGGTGAGGTAAAAAGGAGCCTCATGGCACTTTAAATACAAATGCACATGTACCATATTTAAACAAAGCGTTAGTTTCTTGTCTACATTTAAGAACACTTAAATGACTTTTATACATGAACAAATAAAACCATGAAAGGAGGATAACTTTACCCGTTCTATAATACTCATTTATTAAAATTTGGAGAGTGGTGAGTTTCTATTCACAGCAAGGTAAAACAGGAACTGATCAAAGCAGGGAGACATTAAATAGATTTGCCTATATTTTACTAAACAGGATAAATTGGGCAAGAAGTTAGCCCTTTATTTAAACATCTTTCAAACAATGGTCTGATTCTCTCTACAGCTATGTTAGGTTAGGATCCTGGATCCTCTTTCAAACTATATATTTAAAACATCAGCCAGAAAGTCAAAAACAAAACAGTTACCTCTACAGATTTGACCATGAATCACTAATATCTGTATCTCAAATGAAAGATTCAAGGATGTCAGAATGGTTGCATACATTTATAGCCATGTGACCAGATTAATCACAGCCATATATCCTGCCAATCTTAGATATGGGGTGATATTAGACTGGGATATTTAATACCTCTTTTGTTACATCATTTGTATCTTCCAGTGCTGACAGCAATGGCAGCCGTGGTCGCTTGCACTGTCTTGTCTTTGTTTCCTTGGTCTTGTGCAACTCATCCCAGATTACTTTTACCAGAGGAGAACTGTTAAAAATCGGACAACTCACACCAAACTACTGTTGGTCTTTGGTTCTTGTTACCATTGCTAACTCTGAGAGATGATACAGTCCAAGTAACTTTAAAACAGTGCTGATTTATTCAAAGGATCACAGGTAAAATTAACATTACACGCTCAGGTATCTTGCACCTCCAAACTGCACGCAGGTAGATGTAAGATGAAAGACCCTGAACCCACCAGGCCTATACATTATATCCCTTCGGTTGGGCTAGCCCCATACTACACAGAAACGTCAACCGAGACGTAACATATTATGGCTAAGGCTACAGTTCTACACGTCATAATAATAATATTAAACACCCTGTCTGCAGTCATCAACTTTTCTCTCTAGTATCCTTGACCAGATGTACCCTGTAGAAACTCATGAGCATGACTAAGCATTTAACAGTCTAACTAGACATCCTATCTCCACTAAACATTTCTAATACATAAAGTATCTATCCAATATCTATCTGACTAAAAATACCTAACACTACCTTTCTCTGATTTTTGTGAACGAAGAATGCTGTATGGACATTCTGAATGAAGGTGCAGCAGCGATATATGGGACCTGGAAAAAACACTGTCGTGGAAAGCGGGTGGGCACCTTGGTGCGGTTACGACAGAGGGGAACACGGACTCCATTCCTGTCTATTCACCTGGCAAATCTCCACTCCCTGGTCAACAAAATGGATGAAATTCTTCTCGTCAACAGGACTAACTCTGATTTTACACGCTCTACTGCTTTGTGCTTCACGGAGACCTGGCTGAGTGACTCGATCACAGACAGCACGATTCAAGTACCGGGCTTCCAGATGTTCAGAGTGGATTGCGTAATGGAGCTGTCTGGGAAAACGAAAGGAGGTGGAATCTGCTTCTACATAAATGAAGGTTGATGCACAGATGTCACAGTGCTACAGAGGACATATAATGCAGACCTAGAAACTCTTATCAGTTGCAAACCTTTTTACTCTCCCCGTGAATTTAACAGTTTCATTCTAATTGGAGTGTGCATAAAACCACAGGCCAACGGTAGTGTACTATGGCTCCTGGCAGAACAGATAACTAGCCTGGAGGTAGAACATCCCGACTCTCCACTCATTGTTCTAGGGGACTTTAACAAAGCAAATCTCGCCCACAAACTGCCAAAATACAGACAGAATGTTACCTGTCCCACCAGGGACAAAATCACACTGGACCACTGCTACACAATAATAAAAGACGCCTATCACTCTGTCCCCAAAGCAGCCCTTGGACTCTCAGATCACTGTATGGTCCATCTTATTCCAACCTACAGGCAGAAACTTAAAGCTGTGAAGCCTGTAGTCAAAACAGTGAAGAGCTGGACTGAGGAGGTTAAGTCAGAGCTACAGACCTGCTTTGACTGCACAAACTGGAGTGTATTTGAGACTGCAGCTACAGACCTGGATGACCTCACGGACACTGTGACATCTTATATTAGCTTTTGTGAGGATATGTGTGTGTGCCCAAAAAGTCCTTCTGCACATACAACAACAACAAGCCCTGGTTTACAACCAGACTGAAGCAGCTTCGTCATGCCAAAGAGGAGGCTTACAGGTGTGGGGACAGGACTCTGTAAAGCCAGGCAAGGAACACACTGACAAGGGAGATCAGAGCAGCAAAGAGGAGCTACTCTGAAAAGCTTCTATATCCACACAGAAATAGTCCTGGGTCAGATAGAGACTGTTCCAATGTCCACTGGGGGCTGATTACTGACAGCTTCCATTACCAAATAAACAGTACAAGAAAAACACAAGATGTATGTATTGCATTGATAAAGGACTGTACAGTGTATTGTTGAATAAAATGTTTGTGTCCAGATGATTTATATTGCAGTGAAATGTGTATCCCTTATTTCTGCCTGGGAAATTACTATTACAGCTTAAATTTTATTTCATAATTTTGGCCAGCCGTGCAAATTGCAATAAGAGTGTTCTCAGTAGGACATAGTGCTAGTTCATGCAGAGCACTGAAGTTGCACTTGGATTAGCTTTTAAACATCATCAGTTTCAGTCATGCTTCCCCATCAGCTGCCTGGCTCCCAGGAGACTAATAACATCCAAATTATTTGTACAGGAGAACACAAACATTGTATAATCTGACATTTCTCACTCCTGACACTTTTCCTAACAATTCAGCCTCATGCAAATTTTTGCTACAACATTCTCAACTTCCTCCTTATATGTTTTGTTTTGGTAATCTGAGATTTGATGTCCATATAACCCTCAGTGGTACACAATGTTTTCAAAAGTGCTCACAAATAGCAGAGCCTTTTCCACCATTTTTTAAATGCAGTGTCAACTATCTAGCTTCCTTGGCTAACATAACTTAGCTAATTCAGTATGTGGTAGCTATGTTAGCAATTTCTTTACTTGTAAAATAGGCTCCATTCTGCTATCTTTATTGTAACCATTCACCAGAATTACTTCCCAACAAAGTTATAAACCTACTTTATGTATTCTATGTGGAGGCTAACCTTATCAATGACTGTAACTACCATCCTGAGTTGACGGTATAGAGAAATGTCCAGTTTGATTAGCTTCGCCATGCTGTCACATTTTCAAGAAGGCTGAACATATATTAAGATGTCCAATCTGGTTTTGTGGTTGGCGTGACAAATGTTCATCCAAACACTGATCATTGCTTGGCAGGTCATTCTTATTGCCGGCTTGTTTCAGTTTGAGATCAAGTCACTTCCGTTGTTTTTACATTCACTGTGATATGTTGCCTTTTTACATAAGCAGTAGAGAGTCAGTAATCTGGGCCAAATCCAGAAGAAACTGTTTAAAACTGAGTTTGTCACAAAGGACACATTTCCCTTTGAGGCTGCTATAGTAACTCTGAAGATAAGATAAATATGTAATGATTCCTGTGGGCATCAGATAAAGATTTCAGATGAGACAGACATTAATAGATGTTTTGCAGAAATTCATGTAAGATTTGTTATTATTATGTCTGTTAGGGCATAGTTGGACCTGTAGCTCAAGTCTTTTAACCTCTTTTGACCCTGGGCGCCTTCTAAGGTCTTCCAGGGGTATTCTGTTGACTTGCTGATAAAGCTTATGAATATTACCTTAAACTCATCTCTTTCATTATTATTTTTTCTGTTTCTCACACAGGTTCCTATGTATGACTCTACCATGGACCACATCATCTGCTGCCTGCTGGTCCTGGGAGCCACAGTGATAATCACACATGCATGCCCCAAGTACTGTGTATGCCAGAATCTGTCTGAGTCCTTGGGCACATTGTGTCCTTCCAAAGGCCTTCTATTTGTGCCTCCAGACATTGACCAAAGCACAGTGGAGCTCCGGCTGGGAGGGAACTTCATTCTCCGTATCACTCAGCAAGACTTTGCCAATATGACTGACCTGGTGGATTTGACCCTCTCCAGAAATACAATCAGCTACATTCAGCCCTTCTCCTTTGGTGACCTGGAAACACTGCGCTCACTTCATCTGGACAACAACCGCTTAATGGAGCTAGGCCCTGATGATTTGCGAGGCTTGGTCAACTTGCAGCACCTCATTGTTAATAACAACCAACTGGGACATATTCATGACAAGGCCTTTGAAGACCTGGCTTCTGCCTTGGAGGACCTGGATCTCTCCTACAACAACCTGATGTCTCTTCCCTGGGACTCAGTCCGCCAGATGATTAATCTCCACCAGCTTAGTCTGGACCACAACCTGTTGGATTTTATTCCAGAGGGCACCTTCACTGACCTGGAAAGGCTGGCAAGGTTGGACCTGACTTCAAACCGCTTGCAGAAGCTATCCCCAGACCCCATCTTTGCTCGTGCCCAGGACGCAATGATTCAGACTACACCCTATGCTCCCCAGCTGTCACTAAGCCTGGGCGGGAACCCTCTCCACTGCAATTGTGAGATGCTTTGGCTGCGGAGGCTTGAGAGAGATGATGAACTGGAAACTTGTGCCTCCCCTTCTGTACTAAAGGGTCGTTACTTTTGGAACATAAAGGAGGAGGAGTTTGTGTGTCAGCCACCTCTCATTACCCAGCACACCCACAAGATGCTGTTCTTGGAGGGCCAGATGGCAAGCCTAAGGTGTGAAGCAACTGGAGACCCTTCCCCCACTATTCACTGGATCTCTCCTGATGATCAGCTGCTTGGCAACTCCTCACGAACTGCAGTGTACAGCAATGGAACCCTGAGCATCACCATTACCACCTCTAAGGACTATGGCATCTTCACCTGCATTGCTGCCAATGTGGCAGGGGAGTCCACTGCCTCTGTTGAGGTGTCCATTGTCCAACTTCCCTACCTCAGCAATGGGACTTGGCAGCCAGTGCAGCCTAAGTCACGCCTTTCTGACATCACAAGCACCACCAGGATCAGCAAGGGGGCTCCCAAGAGCCAACCAGAAAGGGCGGTGTCAGTCTCTGAGGTAACATCTTTTTCAGCACTGGTCAAGTGGACTGTAAACAAGTCAGCTCCCAAGGTGAAGATGTACCAGCTCCAGTACAACTGCTCTGATGATGAGGTTCTGATGTACAGGTAAACAGCTGCTTATTTCTGTCTTGTAATGTAGGAATAGTTTTGTGGGAACTTTTTATAATGTTCAAAATATTTAGTACATAATTTGGTGTGAGATGATTGGGTTTATTTTTTAGCTGCATGAATCATTATTTTTTGTATGAAATGACTATGTAATGTCAACAAGGTCACACCTAGTGAACAATTATCACCAACTCTGTAGTTCCCCTCAGCTTTGCAAAGCATCTTGTCCTCTTTTAATTGTATTGTTTTTGTTTTACAGGCCAAACATTTCACTTTTCCCATTTTAGCAACAATACACAGCTGGTTCAGTGAAAAAGCTCTGGTAAACCTTTGTGACATCTCTGGTAATTGTTATGAGGGGCCAAAATCAGCATTCAAAGGTAGAGTAGGTAAGATAAAAATGAAGTGTACTTGTTCTTAACATAATAGGCTTTTTTCAAAACAGACATTTTGACTTGTCAAGGTGTTACTATCAACATTAACAACAATACTGTATTATTCAAGTGTTCCAGTAAGTACTACAACAGGATCCATTTACTCTATGCTTCTAATACTGTGATATGTCAAGATGTCTGTCGTGAGAAAGGCCTTCGTACAATCTGGCAAATGACTGAAGTAGGTGGTCAAGGAATGGCTGATTAGGGGGAATAAGGGGCAGGTGTGTAGGTCAGTATTGATCAAGAGGATCAGTGGAAGGATAACCCTTCAGCCGAGCAGACAATATGGAATTTTTATTGATCATGTACAATTTGATCGGCCTTCCTGCATGACCTGAACCTGTCAGGTCCGCTCGGCGCGACCTGCCTCTTTTCCGCTTCCGCTTTTCTCTCCTCTGTTCTCTCAACTTGCCTTTCTTCCGCCTTTCTCTCCTCTGTTCTCTCGACCTGCGGGATTCGCACCTCAGCTGTGTTGCATTCATAATTAGCGATTCGTTTGTCGGTGCACACAGCTGGGGTGCATCCTGCTGATTTGTCTCCCTCTTTATTTATACCTCTGGCAGACGCTCCGCCGTCACCAGAGCATTGCCACATGTAACGTGCACTACTTACCCAAAGTAGGTGAGAAATGTTGTGTTAAACCCGCATTATTATACGTGTGTAAGATGCTACGCTGACAGTTCCTGTGCGTTTTGGCTTGACCTTATCTTGATATTTATGCAGTTAGCAATACCCAAAATATGTGCTTTTGTCTTCCACGCTGACAGTCAGTGTGCTGTGGATTGCATTGTGTACGTTGGTCTTTTTGTTCTATCACCTATCTGTCTTCATCTTTCTGCCCTCTTGGTTTTTGCCGTCAGTCCCATGGTTCACCTGTTCTGGTCCCCTCCACCATCTCTACTCTACCCGGACTGTATATGTAAACTTGGACTTTGTTATGTTCTGTTGATACTTTGTGTTCTTTTTCCAGTAACCGTCATTTTTTCCCCCCATAGCACCTGGGTCAGCAATCTTGAGCCCAACCTCAAACTCCACACAGAAAGGTCTCGGGTGAGGCCCAAACCCAGAACCTTCTTGCTGTGAGGCAATGGTGCTAACCACTGCGCCACCGTGCTGCCCTCAATCATTTAATATTACAATTATTCTGAGCGGGGTAGTAGTTAGAAAAGTAATCTGGTAGTTAGGGAACAGAATCACTCCTCCTGTAATGGAATAGATAAAGTATTAAATAAGAGGACTGTCACAGAGTCAGTCAGTCTTGGTCAGGAGTCCAGTCAGTCCAGAGTTCGTTCCCCCCACCCAGGCCTGGGTCTGAAAGTGCACACACTTCACTATCACAGTAGCATTCTTCTTTCTCCTACATCCTTCAGCCTTACTGTCTTTATCCACAGCTTTCTTCGGCTGTTACGTCAATTTCTGAACTTAGCTTCCTGTCTCCAGTTTTAGGAGACAACACCCTGAGATGTACCCAAAAACAGGAAACATCTTGGCCAAATTATATAAGCTCATTGTCCAGTTCACATGAACTTAAAAGTGAGCACGCGAACACTCTATTCTATTACATAATCTATATTAACCCATAACTTAAACCACTACAAGACAGGATTGGTTCCGTATGTCATGGCAGATGTAAACTGACAAAAACTAATGGAACTAGCAAACCTGAAAAAGGCAAAAATTACTATAATGAAGATGAAGTTAGTGATTGCTGGTGAAAATAGTGGATCATCTCCTGGCTATAAGTGAAGGCTAAAATATTAGTTGTCACATCTTAAGATGATATCATGTCATATTATTTCAGCCTTTTCTGCTGCCCCCAATGTTTTTGGAGGCAGTCTGAAATACCTGACTGTCTAAATTAAAATTACAGCAGCCGCATGCAATTTGGAAATTACGGTTGCCATTACAGCAGTGTCAATATTTCTTTCAGTAATTTTCAAGAAGGCTGAACATATATTAAGATGGACAATAATGTCATTTTATTCATTAGGCCTATTAGTAAACACTCTGCCAGACTTTAAATGTCCATTTTGGCCAGTCCAAGCACCCTTACCATAACTACATTAAAAGAAGTACAACAAAAGTCAAATGGGAGCTGGCTTCCCTGGGTTTTTGCAGTTGACAGCTCACTTGACCACAGGTAACGTTATCCTGTTATCCTGTTTCTTCATGTCTTTGCTTCTTTGATGACAGGGATTCATGCTGTCTTCCTTTTTCTCATGTTAAAATTTAAGTATGATCTTCCATTTATTCAAATTATAGTTCTTAAACCTATGAAAGTGCTTCCTTATGTTTTGAACATTATTTCTTTTCATCTTCCACCTGTCTCACAATCTAAGCTGCAACTTTTATGTGAAAATGCAAAATTGTGGTTTGTCAGTTCTGGGCTACTATAAAAAACATGGCAGCCTGATGGAGAACCTGCTCCTATTTTCTGGTGATTTCACATTAGTGAAAACATAATTATGCATCCTATAGCCCAACCTCTGCTAATAAATCCTTTTAGATCTTACAAACTGCATCTTTAAAGACAGATAAATGTTGCTTAACAACAGAATTGCTTTATTTGAGGACTCATTGTATACAGAATCACTCATCAAGACTTCCCAGTGGAATCAGTGTCATATTTTACACTGATGTTGACACTCCCAAGATCCATCCATCATTGAATGTCTGCATTGTCCATTAAAATAGTCGAACAGCAGCAAAACCAACTCTCACTAAGGACAGGGTGGTACTGTATTGGGCTCGATTATGCTCAGCAGTCCAGAACCATGGTCATTTCTAAGATTGGGAGGTGGGGGGGTCCTGTCAATCCAGTAGTATTTGCTGGGGCTGAAACTGTGTTACATGGTTGGCCCTTGTGTCACTCAGCAACTCACTGCCATCTTCTGTGAATCCATTTGCTTCCACAGTTCTACTGTCAGGAAGAGCACAGATGTTTTGGCAATTCAGTGAAAAACTTATGTAAAATGAGTGAAAACTGTGGTTGTGAGGACGAGTTAGAGATAATTTTTTTAGACAAATTCAACAACCTCACCACTCTAGGTGTGATATCACCACTACCCTGGCTCTTTCTCTTCATAGAGACCAATGTACAGTATTTCTCATTTTCAACCATTTTAAATAAAGATTCAAATAAATTTGAATCTTTTAAAAAGTACAAATGGAAGTTAAAAGTTTAATCTACAGTAGGTCAACCTCATCATCAGTGAGCCGTGGGCATCCATGACCCTGTCTCCAGTTCACCATTTGTCCTTCCTTACACCACTGTTGTTAGGTACTAACCATTACAGACCAAGAACACCCACCAAGACCTGCAGTGGAGGAGATGCTCTGACCCAGTCATCTCACCATCACAGTTTTGCCCTTGTCAAAGTTACTCAGATTCTTACCCTAGCCCATGTTTCCTGCTTTGAACACATCAACTTTGAAGACTGACTGCTCACTTGCTGCCTAATATACCCCACACACTGACAGCTACCACTGTAAGAGCGATCGGTGCTCCTATTGGCCAGCATTGCCTCAGCACATTGTAGAAAATAAAAAAATTCTGACCTGCTAGACTTTGTGTCAAGACTTTGTGACACATCCCAGGTGTAGCATCGGATGCTGTTTACTATGACACACTATACAAGATAAATCTATTGATTGTCAGTTCTGATGCTCTATGACCATCGAGTCGTGCTGTTATCTGGCTTAAATCATGTACTCTGAACACAGCATTAAACAAAACTTGGGATGTAAAACAAAAAAAAAAACAATTGATTATCATTTCTGACTATGAGAAAATGTGGCAAAACTGTGAAATAATATTCTCCTGAGACTTTCAGTAAATTAATTGTGCTCCTTGTAAAGTTACATCAGCTTGTAATAATAAGCTCCCAGAAAAAAATCCAGTTTCTCCCTTCTGTGTGGCTCCAATCTCAGCACTATCCAGTGTCTCCTCTCATTTCAACAGGCTGGGAAGTTTGATGTCTTAGTGCCTTTTTAATTGCTAAGCACTCAAAAAGCAACCTGACTGGAGTGCAGAATTAGAATGAGCCTACAGTGGTGGTTCATAGTGACAATAGAGCTTCTGGGTGTTGGCCTTACATTACAAATGACAGCAGCAATCACTTGTTCTAACAACTAAAATGACCTGCTATATGTCATACCTGACAGCCTACTTGACAGGGGCCTCTATTAGATCAGCCCAGTATCCTTAGGAATTATTACTATTATTATTATTTTCATTACTCCACACCTCACACATGTCCAATGTGAAAGTTAATTTCCAGTGCAGGAAGGAGTGTGTTCTTTATGCAGAGGTGTAATGATTTATTGTCGAGATTGGGATGGTATATGACTCTATAGTGCATATGACTTTCTGATTGCAATTAACATTCACCTTTGTATTAACCATAACTCAGTATTACTCTAAACTTGCACAAGTGTTTTAGTTGTTTAATCCCATCCATACCTTAACCATGTCCTTAACATTAATTATGCACAGATACTGTACAAAGTGATAATTTGTAAAACATTAGCAACGGACATAAAAATGCTATCACTGAGCAC